ATAGCTTACTAAGCTCTGAAAAAATACCCAGGAACGAAGAAAAGGCTGATCCTACCTGAAAGAGAGCTTTTCCTTTGCCTGGATGCTTCTCGCTTACATCTTCTTTCCACTTCAAAAACGCTTCTTCTTCCACAACTTCTGTGTCGTACAACAACACAAACATACGCAACAACATGCCTAGCAAAAACAGAATGGCTATAAGCCAGGAAGGGTATCCAATCTCTGTGCATGATGCAATCACAAGAACACAAGAACTCTGTGACAGTTATTTTTTCTGCTCTGATCGCTCAAAATAATTCGCTTTTACTGTACCTTTAGGAAAGTTATGACTGTGGCAAAACACTTGCAATGCATACAACACGCTGACCTGGAGAAAGAAAGCGGAAAATTGAGGATACAGGTGATCAACAAATAAACAAATTAAATCTACATGATGGGCCAACATTTAGTGGGCAAATTAGCGAAACAATTGCCTACCAAATGAAATCAAACGAAGGAAAGAGCTTTCAAAACATTGAAGGGTTAAAGATTGAAGAAGAGGGGGGAGGGGACAAACTGATAAAGTAACTCACTTGCAAGGCACTTTTCTCGTGAACAAACTTTTCCACTAATGGCAGTAATTTCTTCAAAGTGGCTTTCTCCTTGTCTAGCAAGTCCTTTTCTGGAGCCTGTGATGTGTCCACGCCTTCAGCGAGAGTACTGTCTTTGGTTGCGTACTTCAGCAAGCTGAAGACAAAAATAAAATGTTGTATTCCTTGGTAAAAACGAGCCCTGAACAAACAGTCGCTTTCTTACATCGTAATACAAGTTCTTGTCCATGGAATTATACTTAGTATGAAATGGTGATTTGGTATGAAAAAGACTTTTTTCAATGTGTCGAAATTCTTACACCCCTCTGAGTTTCCGGGTACTTGAACATGCTTTTTTGTGTTTTACTAATCTATTCATACTTTGCCTCATAAATGAACAATTTTAGTTAGACCGCCATTTTTTCAAGCAAGGATTTCAACTTACCAAGTGGTGAGTACGTTAATAAACTCTGGATTGGTGTGCCAGGAAGAGTCGACATTGTCCTACAAGTAAAAACAGTATCAACTAAGAACGTTAAACTGAAGGTCAGTGTACTTCTAAGAGCTACGAAAATAATCAAAGGGAAAATAGCGTTGCCATTATACTAGTAACAAATTTCTCTCCCGCTGACACCAATGGCCGCTAGAACCACAATTGAGCCAAGTTGATATATGGTCTACAGTTTAACCTCCTCATGTCTCATGTAGTTCTGTCCTAAAGGGTCTGTCGTGACTGATTTGTTGGAGGTCACAGTTTGAAACTTGTATCATAGATTGAATGATATCTATTTTCTGTCTTCATACCTTGACCCACTTGTAGATTGCAGTGACGCTGGGATCTTCCTCGATCTTGGAGAAAAGATCAGCTTGAATATGAAGCAGTGGGAACAGGAATACCAGGTTCTGAAAACAAGATTAAATACTGGGTTAAAAACAGCATGGAGCTAAAACTCCAAAACAGTAGCAAAGGAATATAACCACCAGTTTAGTGTTCACATTAAGCACCGGTATATAAAAATATATCTTTTTTGCAACCCTGAAGTCTGTTCCATATTGACCTCTTTCCTCGAGCACGTGGGGTTGATATTCTTCCAGTACTAACCTCCTGCTAGGTTAATAAGATACATATTTTTCCATATTTTCTAGTACAAACCTGTTTCTCCAGGATAGACATGAAATTTTCACTCGTTCTGTCTTCCTCTGCCAACAAAACACAAAGAATAAGTTAAATGGTACAATAATGTCTGCGGCAAAGAAAACATTCCAGTACTAGCTGACAATACATTAATGTCTGTTATGTTCATTATCACTACTAGTCACACAACCAGAGTAATTTACAAAATTCATTTTCTTTGCAAGTAGCATCAACAAAAACACTTGACAACAATTTCTCTGCGCTTGCGCTTTAAAGTGTTCTTTAAAACGAAATCACTAGTAAGAGAGTATTCTAAAAATAACAGACACAGCACTTAGTATGCATTGGTTCCGCAACAAAATACACAAGTTTCTCTGGGCTGAATAGGTGCAAATTCAAAATTGGTAGCACTACAACATTATGAACTTTACCAACCTGGCATAGAAGACAGCAGATCTAATTTGCTGTCTGTAAATTCTTTCATTAGCCACTCCTGACAAAACGATAAGGGAAATTCCCACAATTAATACTCCACAAACTTTAATAAGTCTGCACAAAATTCTTTGTCACTTTCTAAATATACCAGACAAAGACATCAAAACTCGCACTTGAAACTACAATTACAGCATCATAGGCAGAAATATCTTTCTTCAGTCTGACAATGCACTTGAAATACACTTAACACTTTATTTCAATTGCATCTAGAAATTAATATTAGCATAAAACTGACCACTGGTAGCATTTGGCTAATCTTGGCAGATCAGTAACAACAACTATTGTTGGGAGAAACTTTAAATCTTCACAGCAACAAGAACTGTCCAGAAATGATTCAATTCAAACACACAAAGTGGAAAAAACACATGTGAATATGCCCACCCTCGCAAAATCAACTGGCAGTATAAAAAGAAGAAATTACATATAAGGATACCCACCTGTCCCTTCAAGGTCTCCAGTTCCTTCAGACACAGCAACAGAGTTGGGTAGAAATTCCCGTTTTCTGCTACAGAGCTCACATCAATTAAACTCAACATTTCCTGTTGTCAAAGGTTGAATAATGTCAACATTGCATGTTATCATTTTAAGCTGTACACCTTGAGATTGCAATATTAATGCTTTAGAGCTTGGGTGGTTTGTTTTCCCATTGCAGACCACATGGTATTCTCCAGAGAATTAGTCTTTCATCAATCTAAAAATTAGTCATTCATACACATGCAACTATTTCAAAATTTGAAAGCATGAATTCTCAAGAGTATCATCACATGGCCTGAAAGGGGGCAACAAGCCATCCAAACTAAAATGGTACATTATGTTTTGCTGTAAAAGCTTTAAGTCCTCGAAACCAAAAAGTCATTCAGATGTGTTTTGTCAGTTATCTGTTGACAACACATTTACCTGTGTCACAGCATTAGCCATGAACTGTGCCATTTGTTTCTTGATTTTCAGTTCAGATTCTTCTGTGTCATGATGCTGTTCCAAGACACCAGAGACTCCCTGTTAAACAGACAACCAATGTTATTCGACAAATACATGTACACTACTCAGTATGCACATTACAAAACATCAGTACAAGCAAACTGCACAACAAGACAATTTCCTTCAAAAGCACATTAGTTGCTAGTTGAGTTCAGTGAAAGTTACTGACACTGTTGAAACTGTCACAATCTGCTTACTTTCTGGCAAATCAACACCCAGGGGAGGATCCAGGATTTTTCTCAGAAGGGGGTGCACCATTAAGGAATGGCATAACTGACTGGTGGGGTAAACAAAGTTTGAAAGCAAATACCAAGAAGAGGACTTCATCTCAGGGGAGGGGGGGGGGGGGGGGTGCACACCCCCTGCACCCTCCCTCTAGATC